AAATTACAAACTGCTCAGTTCGTCGACATATTAATTCATATTATATCGTTTAGAACTTGTTTCTCAACTAAAAATAAGAGTTCGCCTCTCTTTTTTCGCAGGTTTTTCTCCTCGATCTTCTCCATTCAGAAATTGTTGTATTCTCATTTCAGAATAAAAAATGATAATACGATACAGCCAAAGTACGCACATAAAGTTGGACTTTTCAAACAGAATTTAATTTTGTTCTTTAAGTATCATAGAAGTACAGTATAAAAGCATTGGAAACACCCTGCTACTAGTAAGTAATTTTGTAGAGAAAAATCATTAGGGTTTGGTATTGCCAAAAAACAATAGCCAGCGTCACGAATTCCCCTACATGTGCATTTAGCAATGACATTTCACATTAGTCTAAAGCACTGCAAAAAATAATGCGAAAGCCGTACTTGGCATACTAGGAGACTTCGAGTGGCATTCTTCTGTTACCACAAATTTATAGGTCAGAATCGGTGAAAACACTTATCACTTAAAAGATCATTTTAAAATGCTATGGGTCTACCTATATTGTACAGGAGATTCTCTTTGTCAAAAATTTTCAAAATCCACCAGCAGTAATCTCATCTCAGAAGCAACATGATATATTAATGCTGAAAACCTTATTTGTGACTTTCTTACAGGGTGCCAGATGTACCAAAAGAATATTTCGCGGACCCAGCTCGTCTAATGACTATCACCTTCTACTACATGTTGGATTATCCCCTCGAAAAGGCGGCTGAGCTGGCAACATATCTGTACGATAAAGCCAAACAGTCACTTATTATCGTGAGCACCTTCTTGTGGCTTCTGAAGCAGCTTAATCAATAAAAAAATTGTAGGTGGAAACTGACGAAAGATCCTACCTGGGTGAACATGCCGTTGCCAATACTCTAGCTCTTCTCTCTTCCTTTTCCCATAGCGGCAGGCGATCAATAGTTTGTTTTCCTTTTGATGAAAACCTACTGATGGTAGCCACTCTGTTCACTGACTATGTGTATCTCCACAATGATGACGGTACTCTATGCAAATTAGATGATTTCGCCTCATCTAAATGCCATCGCTAACAAATTGTAATTGAGGGTTATAGTTTTGTCTCATTAGTAAATCTCATATTCTTTGGAAGAGAAGTGAACTTGGGTAAATTCGTAATCTCACTTCGAGAAGTTTATTGAGAGGTGTACTTGAAATATTGTCGTACATACTAAAAAAGGGTTTAAAATAGCTTACAGTAGCAGCTTCTCATTTGTCAAACACGTTCTACATCCACATTGACTTCCAGTTCTTAGAAATGGTAAACTGCTTCATACTGAAATTTATATACAGAAACATTCATCAATTGCCTCTGCGGACTACTGATGATGGTCGTGAAATTCAAAAGTTGGGAGCAGCACATTATCTTGTCAGGTGAAGGCATCTCAAAGTGACACCCCAAAACTTTTGATATGCTCTATTCGTAGGAAATTAGGATCTAGTTACATATATGTTTCTTCCACTTAGAAGTTTCACTCTTTGACCGTATTTTAGATGCTTGAGTTGCATAACATTCACACATGCCAGCTCCGAGCTTATGCCTTTATGCAGTTTCTAAATGCTTTATTCGCAAAGTGAATTAGAGAACTAAAAGAAATGTAGGACCTTTCTGAAGCATCATTTAAACCAAAGTCTTCTTCCCAAATTACGATCACTAGTTAATCGGTTGTATCTCAGCTTTCTGATCTGTACAGCGTTCATAAGCATGTTACTGATCTTCGTCTATGTCAGATCTACGTCTTTTTCGTATTTCCTTTTTTTCCGAGAAATAGAGATGGGCCGGAACTGTTGCTAAGCAGGAGCAATAGACCAAGTCTAGTATAGCTATTACTTGTCTGAACTGAACGTCTACAGAATTATGAAGATTTCGATGCATCAAGTTCAATTTTTCCTTTCAGCCCTCATACATTCAGATTAAAGATAACGAGAGATTCATATGCATGTTCTCACCAGTCTAGTTGAACTCAAAAAATAAGGATTGAATATGTTGCTGTCAGATAAGGGTGTGGACGATAGTGCATTTGTTTCTTTGTATATTCATCGGAGAGCAAAAGAATTCAGAAATTCGCTATACCCTTGTTGGCACATTCTTACGCCTTCCGCCAACATCTCACGTGTTGTGGATTCCCTAAACTTTATAAGAGCAGCTGTTTTCGCGTTTTCATTAAGAAAAAACCCATAAAAAAGAAATCTTGGAAATGAGTTCTTGTGCTGATTCAACTGCCACTTTCTCCCTTCCCCTCCCCGTCCCCGCACACATTACAATTCTGAACTCGTTGAACCGCTATAAGGTTATATGCGTACTTACGAACTAAGCCCTCTTTTAGTAATTCTTCAAGTTGAGCAGAATCAGTTTCCAAAACAACAAAGCAAAATTATAGACGCCCCCGCACTTAAATTTTGAAAAAAGTTCTCTAAACCTTACATAGGAGAACGTTTGAAGTTGGCGGAACTTTCAAATGTCACATCTCAATACATGCAAACGGAAGAGTTTCGCAGTGTGGCATATTTAACTTTACGTTCAAACCTTTTCGTTTATTTGCAAAACGACAAGCGTTTCCAGAAACGCGATAAAGACCGTTCAAAGAAAATTGTGTCTGATATTCTATACGATGTATTTATTCAATCAGAGCTGTATATGTTAGAATTCTCTCGTCTTCCCACAAGTTTCTCAGTCTAGGCGATAGACTACAAAATAGCTTTCCAAAGTGATTAGGACAAATTACATATTAAAACTCCGAATACTGTCCAGTCTACCTTTCACAGTCAATCACAACAGTTCATTCTGTATGCTACATATTCTAACTGATAATGACGACTATTTTCAGCCAAAACTGTTTTGGCATAAATGGCCAGATAAAAACAGTACAATTGGCCATATCTCCTGACAGAGAGTGTTCTCTGTGATCTTTTCAGGATTCTCCCAGGAATCATCAGTCGGTTGTCTGTGCTTCATCATAAGCGAGATTTCCTACTCTATACAGGCCTACATGGTGACAGACGACGATGACTGCGCGCGTCTTATTGTTAGCTGTGGCATTTTGGGATTTCGCAACAGCCTTTTCAGAGAACCAGGAAGATGGGAAGAATTTAGATTCGGCGAGGATTTGGTCTTCCTGATCGTCGTTCCGGTATTTCGTCAGCTCGGCTTGGCGGTCTGTATTTCATCGTCGATATTTTGCTGGAGAAGATTCAATGGCGCCGGACCCAGAAGGAATCATGGAGCAGATGAGCAAAGAACAGTTTAATCTGCTCGTAGCACATCTTCGCACAGGAATCCGGAAACTATTGCCAGGACGATCATGAATCCTTTTTGTTGTGGAACAGCCATGCATTGATGGGTCTATCTCCGTCTCCCAAGCGGTTTTTGATGGGGTGTGAGTCCTTCGCTTCTCAGAGTGTTGCTTTGTTTCTATCATAGTAGAACCGATAATTCCCTGCTGTACCGTATCTGACCTCTTGTGAGGGGCGGGCTATGCCTATCTCATGCTAATTGGGAAGTCCCTCACTCACTCTTCTACACGCTTGG